AAAACTGCCTTTTTTGTGTTCGTACACCGATTGTGTGTTCGTTTTAGTGGCATCAAAAAAAAACTTTCTTAGTCGCTTGTTATGACCGATTTATTTGCTCCTATTATTTATAATCGCAGCTATTATCAGGCGTATTTTATCGACTCGTCGTTGTGTTATAAAACGCGGCACATATTGTCTTCTTTCTTGCAACCGCTTAAATTCATTCCGAATATGTGAGTTCAACATTTTGATAGTTGCACGCAAATCATCCACTGAAAATCGCTGATATGTGAAATGAAAAGTCTGTAACCGAAAAACAATTCAATACAGTCATGATAATACTTCTAAAAATGACTAGTATTTTATGACCTAATTTACAAAATACTGCTTTCATTGTAACGAAAACCGTTTAAACTTCCAGCGAAATTGCGACATTCAGCGTCTAAAATGCGATCAATATTATGATTGGCGAACACACACATACACACAGGCATACCATATAGCATTCGAGAACATAATTTTCTAATATCTGTCTTCTTTGTCCAATTTATTTGCTCGCAATATCAAAGAGCATAAGCCATGTTGATACGTACACCCTTGCCCCGAGTGCGATAAATATTTCAAGCGAAAGAGCGAACCGAACAAAGAGATAGAGCAAAAGAGCGTTTCACATGACATAGAACGGGAAAAATCGATTCGCAAACAACCATAGCGAAACTGTGCAAGAGCATCGTCGCCGTCGTTGTTGTTGTTGTCGTCGTCATCATAACGGTGAATATAGCATTGCTTAAGAAATCCCAAGCCGTCTACAAACTCCAATTCTTCGGAATCCACAGTGTAATTTCGTATCGATTTTACATCAATCGCTGTCGTACTTTTTCCTCCTCCATACATTCATTTATCACACAATTTCCATCTCGCTTCTGCCATCAGCATCCATAATTGTTGTGTTTCCTTTTGGACGCACACAGCCGTCTGTATAGGTTGAATTTGTGCTGGGTTACAAGATGGAAAATGCCGATGAAAAAAGCATGAGCTCAAACAAAATCACATATACATACACGCGCGCGAACGGCGTTGAAGCCTGTTCCAAATGGCAAAAAGTAATGTTTGCCAAGAAGTTTATGAACAAAACACAAGTGAACTTTCTCTGCTTAAGTGATGCTAGCGTCTACACAGTAAAATATCGATTTTCTCATTTCAACCCTCCGTAGCGGGCAGCAGAAGAAAAATATGTTCACGAGACAATCCTATGTAGGAATGATTCAAGTTTTGCCGCTCAATGCTTATGTAAAATTATTTCTCACCGATGGAGAGCTTCGTTGGCTGGATTGTTTGCGCGGCAGCAATGTACTCGACGGCTACCATATAAAAATTAGGATCGCACATAGAAGAATTTATTATTTATGCAGACATCATGCTTTGCATTTTCGGACTGAAATTCGATTCAAAGGCAAATGTTACATGCAGAAAAGTTTTCCCTTCTTTTTTCGTCCGCGCCACGATGAAAGCAAATGAACGAATGATGAATAATGCACATCGAAACAAAAGCCAATCTATTCCATTTTCCTTGGCTTGAATCAAGGCAAAAAAAATCGCTATTTTCTTTCCTTGACAGCAGGGCAACTGCGAAGTACATATGTACTCTCATCATCATCATTATTGCACACACAAACAACAAAAAATCGTTCGATGTTTTTCTTTTTCGGTCGGCTCTGCGAAACTTGTAAATGTGATCAGAACCTATGTACATAAATGGGTGGAAAAGCTGTGCGCATGTGTTCTCACAGCATCGACAATGAGATTAGCATTTTTTCTTCTGCTGCTGTTGCTGATGCTGTTGTTTCTTGGCTCATTTCTTAAGCTCAACATAACGTTGAGCCTTTTCCAGAAAAATCAATTGTCATAATTTGCTTTTCTTCCTTACTTTCTTTCTTCTACATTTATTCTTTTTTTCATCTCACTCATCGAAATCCGCTCTTGATAAAATGAAACCAACACAAATTTTACACTTGAAATACGAAAGTATATCAAGTTGAATTGTAGAAAATATAGAGAAAACAAAACATTGCGATAAATTCGGACGAAATGCAAACTTGAAGAGACAACAAATTATGTTGACTAATTCAAAAATAACAATTACTGGGCAGAGAGATAAGATTTATGAGTAAATTGGAAAACAATGTAGAGAAATGGTACGATATTATTTTTTTAGTGCGAAAAGGAGAATCAATGTCATGTAGCCTTGATCTAGACCTTTTCGCACATTGTGCACGCACTCACTCTCCTTTCGCTGTCGTACTCTCGCCCGTCATTCGTGAGTGGAATGCCATTGATAATAACATTCCGGCAATAATTTTTATTGTCACTTTATTTTTTTTTATGTATATATACGTACGCTGTCAGACTGGTTTTCATTGTACAATGTGTCGCATTCCGTATGCAATCAACAATGGATAATCGTCATGACTCACTTTCTCGTCTGGTCACCTACGTATTTCATTGGATTGAACGATAAGCAATTTTTCGCTTCAACGAATTTTGTTTATTTACCGAGAGCGCATCGTATTTTGATTTCTGTGAATTCGTCGAATAATCACCAATTATTGAGTTTCTTCATAAATCTAAAAATAACATCATTTTTGAATCATAACTTTTTTCGAAATCCATAACGATGACGCATGCTGTGTGTATGACTGGTTGCCTCATGGCAACAGAAAAACGAAATTGCTTCGCGAGCAGTTTAACGTGCAAACATTGTAAAGACAATAATGTTTCTTGTGATCATATTTATTTAAACCGAATTCGTTTAAAAACGACACGTTTATTCATTTGTCATTGTTCATATTTGACGTGCTGTTTACAGTAGCCACAAAATTTGCAATAAATTCCCGGGCGTATACAATTCAATTTTCGACAGAACTTATTATATACAGTGATCAAGACAACTTTCAATGGCATGTATGGGCTTCCACTCTTCATTTTTGGCGGTATTCTTTAGTCGAAATGCCGTCATCAGATGATCGATATGAGGTCGATATACAATGTATGCGATCGTCTCAAATGCCATTTAAAATTAGCACTTGTTCTTCAAAAACGCAGAGCATACGCTGTGAAAATCAGGTTTCACCGTTTTAACATACGTGCTAAACGTACAACAAGTGAAATAAAATACACTGCAATCCTGCCAACCAAGAAATGAACGTATAATAACGGGATGTAACCACAAAGTGTAGTTTACTATCGTCGTCGAAATTTGCATAACAAGAGGCGAACAAAGAATTTACAAAGGGAAAATAACAGATTGTAAAGTTCCAAGTAATAACCATACACCATGTGATTAGCCTCGTTTCAATTTATTCGTCAGTCATGTCAGGCTACCTACTATTTTTTTTTTCTGTTTCATTCGGTTGTATTTTTGTGATGAGTGAATTTATTGACATAAATACCGACATGCCTGTCACTGTTGCGTTCTTCCTTCTTTCTTCTTTTTCTTTTTGTTTTATTTTTTTATTTATGTGTGTCGCCTCCTCTCTCTCCCCCTTTCCGCACAATATTTCAATCATGTTATCTGATTAAAGTCACGTGAATGTTGCCAAATGAAAACTAACTGAGTGATCAGCGTCACAGCAATTTATTTACATTTCTTTTGGCTTGCATTCATGCAAAACAATAACAACAAAATGTGACCTTGATATTGAAAACAAAATTGGAATATTGTGAAAAATGGTTGGTATAGTAAATTTACAGCGCACACAAATAACAAATTCACTGTGTCCAAAATGTAATTTATTTCGAATGGAAAGCCAATGAAAACAAAACGAGAGAAATGGACAGACGAACTAAAAAAAAGGCACACACACACACACACACACACACTGTTTGCATGACGCCATTGTTCTTACTCCGATTTTCCTTGGTCATTTCGTTGATAGCAAAGCGATATTTTTAGCAAAACAAATTCATATTCAAATGAGTGGTAAAAATTTTTTGTTATTCTCTTTGCTATTATCGATTTGGCGAACGAAAACCATTTGAGAAATTCCATTCGAAAACTCATTGTACCCATAAAAATATGAGTCATTTTAGTGGGTTTCATGAGAATTTCTTTTTGTTCTTTGGTTATTAAGTCGAGCACTGACCGAACTTTACCTTGATTCCATTTTTCAACACGGAAGCATGCTCATCGTGTGGAAATGCGCATGAAAGGAACAATAATAATAGAAGAAAACAAGGCACCACTTGAACTGAAGAATTCGAATTATAATATTGACGCATTCAATAGCTGTTGGTGTACACCAAAATTAGAAGAAAAGAAACTCAATTCCAAATACGAAACACAAATCAAGACACGGATCGTATCGAACGAAAGCAATGTACTTAAAGTGTGTGTGTGCTCGAGCGGCGTGTGCTTCAATAAATTTTGTATGGCGGTATTTATAATAGAAATTTATGTTTTGAAAATATAATTCAGCGTGTATAATACCAAGAGTTGTTCCGCCTTACTATTTTCGTTGTGGCGTTCTTTTCTCTTTCACTCTATCCAACGGCTGAGTTGTGACTCTTATTGTTTATTTGGGTTGTGTATCTATTGCTTTTTGGGTATGGTTTTTTTTCTCTTCGCTCATTTTGGTTTTGTGTGTGCATGTGTTCGTTTTCTTTCGCTCACTTGGTTAAAAGTCTGTGAGTCTGTAGAGGCACATTTCGAAATAATTGCTTCAGCTTACATAACGATTTGAATTGGCGGCGTATAAAATGGGAATTTTGAGGCGAATGAACTTTATCTGATTTGTGGTTTAGCGTAAAAGCTGTGTCCGTATTGGCGTGCTTCACTAGTTTCGTAATTTCGCTTCGCGAATGAATGACACAAACATATTTTTCTCTCGTTTAGTACAGCCAAAATTTATTGCTCGAATCCGATGCTCGTCTTTAATGAATGAAAAATCCCCAGCGTAAATAAACAACCATATTAATGAAATTTACTCATTTTTTCTCTTCTTTTTCTTTGGAATTTACAGCGTAAAGCGAATTTTTAACCATGGATCGATGGTAGCACAAAGCAGTCCGAAATGAGTTCGATATCGACAAATCATGTCAAGGAACAGCTGATGAGAAACGTTACAGGAGGAACCAATTCGAATAAATAAATTGACCGATTTAGAGAAGAGAAGATAGTAAAAATTGAGAGTAAAGAAACGTATTGAATACGCTTAGCATTAAAAGTAAAGGAGAGAGAGAGAGAGAGAGTGTGTGTGTGTGTGTGTGTGTGAGTGAGTGAGTGAGTGTGAGAGACTTGAGTGACCGAGTTGCCATTTCAACGAAGACGAAAATGGCTACGTCACAGCATCCGTCTTTGAAGCTCAACTCACCGGCTTATGTTGAGCCAATGTTCTACAAATGGCCGCTGCAAACGGGAGCCGTCGGTGCAACTCACGACAGTGGCATCGAAATTCTGGACGCAATCCGTTGGGTGTGCGAGGACATGCCCGAAATGAAAGCAGCACTCGAACATATTGCACTGAACGAAGTCGACACAACATGCTACGATAGCATGCGCAACGTTTGCGACACATACAACAAAGCCATCGACAGTATTGCGGGACTGGTAAGTCGAATCGATTTTCCCGCTAAATTCATTAAATCAATTGAATTAACGATTTCGTTTCATTTCGCAATTTCGTTGGTTTTTAGGAGAAGGGCACCTCATTGACTGAGCAGCGACTAAATAAATTTGCAACTCGTGAACTATTGCGCCATATTGTTCAGCTAGTTTATAACACGGCCGTTGAAGAACCCGACAAACTCAACAAATACGAATCATTTTCACCGGAAGTGTACGGTGAAACGTCATTTGAATTGGTCAGTCAAATGATCGATCAAATTACTATATCGCCCGATGATGTGTTCATCGACTTGGGCTCCGGTGTGGGCCAAGTCGTCCTACAAATGGCCGGTGCACTACAGTTAAAATCGTGTTTGGGCATCGAACGAGCCGAAGTGCCATCGCAGTACGCCATCGAAATGGACTTGACGTTTCGACGATGGATGCGATGGTTTGGAAAAAAATGGAACGATTACGAATTGATTAAGGGCGATTTTTTGGCCGACGAACATCGCGAAAAGATCAACTCTGCCACAATTGTATTCGTGAATAATTTTGCTTTCGGACCAAACGTGGATCACCAGCTGAAAGAGCGATTTGCTGATTTGCGCGATGGCGCCAAAATTGTGTCATCGAAAAGTTTTTGCCCGCTCAATTTTCGCATTACTGAAAGGTAGGCTTTTAAAATGCTATTCAATTGTTTGTGAAAGTGTTTTATTAATTTAAATCGAAAATCACTTGCAGAAATCTGAGCGATATTGGTACCATCATGCACGTCAAAGAGATGTCATCGTTGCGTGGATCGGTGTCTTGGACAGACAAACCAGTTTCATACTATTTGCACATAATCGATCGCACCAAGTTGGAACGGTACTTCCAACGATTGAAGAAAGGTGACGAAAATGGAACGATTCGATCAGGTCGGTACACACGAAACAACAAAGAGAACAATGAAAACACAACGGACTCTGATCAGGAGGTATTGAACGGAAATATTAATGTCAATCTCAACACAAATGCCAACGCCAATGGAAATGGAAATGGCAACGGTAATCGTCATCGTCGAACGTGGACCGATGTCACCAATTACAAAGATAAGAGTAGCCATTCGGACGACGAAGAGAATAATAATTCACGAAATCGAAAGCAAAGCGCTATGAAAAAGCGCAAGAAGCTGGTACGAAAAGCGGCTCAAACAAAACAAACGTCTGCATTGAGTGCAACACAAACGAATGGAGTACAAAAGAAGAGATCATCGAAAGCGAATGCCACTGGAGTGACGACAATTTCGAATAAGAAAGGTGGCCGCAAGCGCAACTTTAAAATCGTCGGTTTGGATTTGTTGCACAGTCACACATTGTCGAGTACAAGTTCACAGGTGATGGGCCGTAGACTACCACCAGCACCGGGTTGTGTCGATCAACAGTTAACATCGCTCACTGGTAATATGACACATGAAGAGCTTGAAATTCCAGTTGCACCGGGTGAAACGCCATACGCTCTACAAATTCTGCTCGATTTGTTCCGTAATCAATTCATGCAGAGCTTGGATCAAATGCGAAATCCAGCGTATAAAGACACAGTGAATAAGCAAATTAGCGATGAAAAGGAACGCAATAAGAATCTATTGAATCGTGTCAATCAGCTGGAGAAGCAAATCAAAGTGTTGATTGATGACAGTGTTGCATTGCTGAAGGCGCGCATGAATGAGCTGGGCATCGAAATGACTAGTCAAAATGATTTATTAGCCAAAGCGAAGGAGATTGTGGGTCGACACAAAGACTTACAAGTGACGGCGGCCAAGCTTCAAGCTCAAGTCGGTCAACTTGAGCGAGATCATAACCATTTGGTTATGAATCAAGTGCAATTGTTAGCATCCAAGCATCCGAAGAGCGATCAAGTGGAACTAAATTCGCAAACGTCACAAGAGCTGGTACTGAAAGAAATCGCCAGCACATTGTCACATCGCAAAAAGTTGAAGGATAAATTGACTTCGTTGGAACAGGATATGCAGACAATTGAAAATGGCGCACCAAATGCGCCGGCCTCAAATGCATATCCAACAGACGATAAGCGATTGACCACGATCACACCAGTGCATCTTGTGCCGACGCTACATCCACCAGCAGCATATACATCGGCTACAATTTCCCTGGCTCCACCGTCGAAACCAGCACCAACTACGACAAAATCGCAACGGAAAAGCCGTGAAAGTCGTGCACGATCTCAAGAATGGCCGGACATACCAGACGTTGGTAAAATCGAAGAAAACAATCCGGAAATTTTGGCACAGAAAATTCTTGAAACTGGGCGTCAAATCGAAGCAGGTCGTCTGTTGGGCAATAATGGTAAACACAAGGAATCAGTGGATCAACGCAAACATCCACAGCAATTGAATGCTGACAACTCGTTGATGCCAGCACCGACTGTAGTTGTTAAGTCGTCACGAGGTGGTGTAGTTCCTGCTGCCGCCACTGGGGCCATCGTTGTGGCACAACAATTGTCGGTTCAACCGAAACACGCCTCTTCGAAGATCATTCAAGATGCACCGAAGGTGGTCAACTTTGAAGACAGACTCAAGAGCATCATCACATCGGCTCTCTGTCAGGACCAGGAACAACGTAAGAGTCAACCAAAACCGAGTAATGCACAGCCTTCACCCACACAACCATCGGCGCCCAATATGTTTGCAAAATCGTATCCGAATTCACAAGTTGCCGCACCCAATGCCAATCAAAATGCACCAATGCACAATTTCAATCCGAATATCATTTCGGGAACACACCATTTAAATGCGGCCACAACAATTTCAGCCGTCAAACCGTCCATTACCAACAATATGCCGAACAAACAATCGGCCGACAATTCGTACGCAATGATTTCGAATAAATATCCGGGCGTCGGTGGATCTGGCAAATACGGTCAACATCCGAATCAGGCACAGCACGCATCTCATTCAATGGCACATTATCAAAAGAATCACCACGCTGAATCGTCCATAACACCACGTCATTCACCTCATGGTCCATCGCCCATCAACAACTATGCACCACCATCACCAGCACAACCATCGTCACAGCATTCACATCATCGCGACAATGTCAACATCGATTTATCACATCATTCGCACGCTAATCGTGATCATATGCCACATCAAAATCAATACGTACCGCACATTGATGTGAAGAATGAATTTAAAACGCCTGAAAAAATGCGCTATGAACGCATCTCAAATCACGTTTCCATAGATGAGCACAATATGAATCGCGCCTTTATTGCCGAAAATATGAGCGTTGCCTACAACACATCGAGTCGTCCGTCGTCAACTTCGTCGTGTGCTTCGAGTGGCCACCATAGTTTGGGACGACAAATGATTGCGGCAACACCACCATTGCAGTCGCCAAATAATTTGCCCGACTACACACAAGTGTCACCGGCCAAAATGGCATTGCGTCGTCATTTGTCGCAGGAGAAAATATCGGCCCAGTTTGGTCCCGGTAACGGAACGATGTCATCGAAAACGATTGGTGATTTGGTGAACGGTGAAATCGAACGAACGCTCGAGATCTCACATCAAAGCATTATAAATGCTGCGGTTGACATGTCTTCAATGGGTAGTTCGATACCGAGCGCCGCTATAATCAATGACCGAGTGCAACGACCCGAACGCGTGAATGTTCGCGTTTTGGATGAATTGATGCCACCGCAACATCAACAATTTGGTGGCGCTCCAACGTTCAATCAAAGAAACCGCGAAATCACCAAATCACCCGTACATTTGCATGGGCAAAGTAATTTGGCAACACTGGCACATGTTGCACACAATCACAAGCAGATGAGTCAACCTCCAACATTTTCGGCGGGCCACACAAAACCATTGACAATTCAAACGATTTCACCACGTTCAACCGGTTCGGCACAATATTCACCCTCATCAAATCATTCGTTCTCATCGCCATCGATGCGTCAAAACGAACAAATGCACCAAGCACAGCCGACCAAATATATGCCACTGCCTCGGGCCGATATTAAAATGAACTGGGAATCCTATTTCAATGAATCAAAAACGATGATGCACCCAAATCAACACCAGAAGCAAATTGTCCATTCGAAGCGTGAAGCACCGGAGGAATCGCATCGCAACAATGGCGGACCACCGCTGGAAGGTAATTTCTTATTCTTGACTAATTTCGAATTGGTCCTAGGAATTTGGTTTTCAATGTTGATTTGTTCGAAATTTTCCATAGGTTTGGCTGCATCATTGCAACAGCGTGTGATTGCCCAAATGAAAATCAAGGAAGAACGCGATGTTGAGCGACAAAAGCGAGCCGAAATTAATCCATTGCATAATGGTAGTGTGACTATCACACCAACCGCTCACATCAAAACAGAAGGTAATTGAAAATTGATTTTAATGATGAAGATAAAAACAATTGTTTCTCTTTACTAATCTCAATCTATATTTGAACTTGAATGAACAGCACCGAGTGGATTGAAACGTACATCGCCAATTACGCAACACCATCGACCCGCTAAGATTCGTCCACATTACGGCAACCATATGAACGACAGCATGCTATCGCCAAATGAAAATCATCGTGATCTAATGAGCCCGGAAATCAATTCGATGCGATCGGGAGAGCGTGCTCACATTCGACCGAAAATTGACGACGGTTAGTGTTGCATTTGAACATTTCATTCCATTTTGTTGTAATCATTGGACTCTCGTAGACTGTACTATTCATTTCGCAATATTATTTCTTACATATAAAACAATTATATATCGATTGATCAGTCGGCTTGTTTAGTTATATATAAACTTGTTATTTTGTTGTTGAAGTATTCTATTTTTTTATTCAACTTTTTTTTTGAAAATCACGTTCATAAAATCGAGTATATTTGATTGTTCTCGTTGTTGTGCTGTTCAATTACCGTTTACAAGAAACATTAAGATATTGATTAATTTTTTTTAAATCTCTAGTAAAGTAGCTTTTAGCACCATATAGATTAGATTTACTCAATTCTAACCAATTCATACACGCACGAAACATACTCATAACTGACCGAATATGCCATCGAAATACAAACAAACACAGAAAACATTTTGATCGTTTACGACAAGTACATATTAGAGCTGATTTATTTATCGTTTTGTGATGAGGTGGACACTTCAAAAAGAGAAAACAAATATTAATTTGATTGTTCAACTTTTTATATTGAAAAGAAACACACGAATGTTTGTAGTTCGATATGCAATTCACTTGCGAACTTTATTGATATAGACCATTGCGTAATGCATGTAACTTTTATTGTATTTTGTGTAACTTGCACTATTCGAATGCAAACTATTTAATTGTTATACGGTCTAACGTTGATATTCTTGCGAGACTGAAGAGGATAAGCAAAAAATAAGAAAACAATTTTCCCATTTTTTTTTTGACACAAAAGTCAGCACACTTCGTCTTCGAATGATGCTGAGTGACTCAATCGTCAATCGCTTGTAGAACAATATTTCAGTCCATTTTTCGATTTCGAAGTAGGTTCCACAAATCACATACTGTTCGTAATCCGTTTGATTCCCCCTCGAAACAAAAAAGAAGAAGAAAAAAAATCGCGATTGTAGAACAAGTGTTGTTTTCATTTCTCAGAAAAAGGAATAAATCGACAACATAATCACATACAACACCAGACACACTCATTATCATTTTGACATTCATTCACATACACACAACTCATTTTCGCCTTCCCATCTGTCTTTCTCTTTCTCTCTCATCCATTTTGATCATCAAAGTCAGAACAAAATTACTATCTAAAACATATTTCAGTTGCAAGGTAATTTAAAAAAAAAACTCATGCATACAACTGGCAATTATACATCATTCAATTAAATTTTAAACAATTCGAACTCGTTGTCATTTTAATTTTAGAGCCGAAAAACAAAGAAAAAAACACTTTTTTTAAATAATTTTTTTTTCTGTTTACAAAACTAATAAATTACAAGGAAAATAATATATAATTTTTTTTATCGTTTGTGTTTTCCTTTTTCTTCTTTCTTTTTTTTATGTTCATTTCGAAAAAAAAAAACCAAAATCCAAAATTCGATGCAATTTGTGTTTGCAACTCTCACGAAAATATCTCTGATTGGATGATGACGAATGAAAACAAAAAAAAATATACACATATACACAATGCATACCTACACACATCTCTCAATCAAAACAATAAATAAAACAAACGCCACATGAACGAAAATAACAAACAAACAAAAAAATGATAAAAACAAATTCAATGACAAAACCAAAAATGATGCGGTTTAATTTAGATCGCGGTATTGTGACAACTACCATACATTATCGGTGATTCATTATGTGAAATCGCTGTGCAAACACGTACCAAAAATACCACAAAAAAAATTTTTGTTTAAAATTAACGAAATGTGAACGATGATTATAAATATTCGTGTGTATTGAGAAATTTGAGCAAAAAGAGAGAAACAAAGAAAAAAAAAACCAGAGACACTTTGAATGCAATATCAGTTCATGAAATTCGCAGCAGACACAATACCGACCGTTACACTCTAACACAATCACATCGCACACAGACATGAAATTAAGAAAAAACAACCAACCATTCGATTTTTGCAAGATATCGAGCGTAAAACCGAAAACAATATCGCCAACATATCAACTGCATCATCGTCGGCGGCCCTAGGTTGATCACCCGAAACGAAGAACAAATGACAAAAAAAAGATAAATAATAAAAAAAAGTACCCCAAGCCAAGTCGTTCGATAGTCAATTTGCTTGTCGAACGTATCTAGCAGAATGTCCAAAGAATGTCAATAAGAAAGAAAACGCAGCTGAAACAGACTCGATACGAAGTGTGTATGTGTGTGAACCGAAATAGATATTTTTCATTCCAAAACCAAAAAAAAAACAAATCCATAGACCAAAAAAATCGCATTTCTTGTTTTGTTTTTGGGTGAGTGTTATTCAAATTAAAGCAGGTACCCAGACAACTATTAACTATACACAATTTTTTTTGTTGGACTTTTTGATTCTATTTTTGATCTAATTTCAATGCCTTAGCTTGTATTTTTGCTTGCAAATTTTTTCTTTCGATTTCTTTCTTTCGAACAAAAAAAACCAAAGGTATTATCTGATCGAATTCACATGTGAACTAATAACTTTTAATGCTAATTTTCTAAGCTAGCCGAACGTTTATTTTTTTTCTCTGATCAATGTAATGGTATATCGTTTTCGTTGAATTGAATGTTTACTTCAAAGAAATTGCTTTGAACCTTTCAATCTGATACTTATTTTAATGAACTTGATATAATATTGCGATAAATGTTTTCGTTGACTATCTATTTCTGTGACTTTAATTCATTTAATTTTGGTAATGCTTTAAACGTAGGCGTGCACTTTTAACGTAATCTTTTTACTCCAAAACTTGTAATACGTTTGAAATTCTTCTAAACTGATAATTCTTATGATTTTTCTTCCTTTGTTTTGCATTCACTAAAAATTTCGTTTCGACCGAGTGAATAAAAAATTACAATGATGATGATTTTTGTACAGAGATCAAATCAAGATGTGTGTTGTTAATTGTCAAGAAACGCTTATTGATTTGTTTGATGTGCAAAAGAATTTAGAAAAAAAAACATTAATTTTGTGTGTGTGGCGTTGTGTTGTTTTGATCTCATTCCATTGTTTTGTTTCATTCGTTCAATCATTTTCCATTAGGCTTGATATGTATCGATGATGGAGACGATGAATCACATTGGCAAGATCGTGTTAGTTCGGGGTTTGATCGTTTGGTTGCATTTGCATCAATTGAATTGACGAAATCACGTCGTTCGATTGAAGATGGTGCACCGTCAACCAGTCCCGATTCCGGTATCAACCAAAGCAGTGATGGTCGAACATTTTTATCATCATCGTCATCGTCATCGCAATTGGATGCGCCAACAAATTTGCTACGAACAGTTGTCCCCATCATGAAAACATCGCCAGCTGAAGTGCTCGAAAGTCCACCGCCACCCGATATGCCCCGCACACCAAGCCCATCAAGTCCACCGCCAATCTACTCGGCTCAATCGCCATTCGATCCGTATATGCTGCACAACAGTGACGAAAAACTCAATGTTTCGAGTCAGTATGCGTACCATAACGATGCACCCGAACCCAATCTACCGAAGATTCCATTGAAATATCAACGTCAATCGAAATCGGTGTCGTATAAAAAGAAATTCCGTACATGGGAATATGATGATGGTGCAAATGCCGGTGAAAATGACAGCTTGGACGATTACAATGACTTTAATCACCTACATAAGGCTTCCAAATTTCGACCAAAAGGCAAAAATTGGAGAAGTCACGAAAATGACAACCAAGCATAAAAATGGCCGAAAAGTAAAAATTTAATTGGGTTGAACATGGGCCGCCTAATGCATTAACAAAGAATAGAGAAAAAGAGTTGAAATGAACATAACCGTGAATAATAATGCGTAAACGCGTGTATGAATGTTAACTGAGTAACACTTAAAAGTAACAAAATGTTGAACAAAAATATGTAGTGTGGTTTGTGAGCGAGCGAGCAAGAGAGAGAGAGAGAGATAACTAACTTTAATTTAAGATTAACCTCATTTAGTAAAAATTCATACAGATCGTAGTAACGTTAAGCGATCGCAATTTCGTTTCGCCGTTTATTTGTGACACACGTATAAATTAAATTACAATTTACTGAATATGATTAAATACATTTAGAAGAAAATATAATGTAGACTAAACAACAAAGAGAAAAGAAGTGTTTTTTGAACATTGTTTTTTTTCGGTGTGACGTAAACTGCAAGCATATTGAAATCGATGAACAACCAAACAATTTCCTTCACTTTTAGTTAATTGATTTTGATTTTTATTTATTTGACGTTGAACCATTTTTGGAAAACGGTCTTCTCCCATTCGGAAAGTGTTGGGAACTTTTTTGTTTCTTCTATTTAACTCTGGTTTCTTTTTGCACACATACACACATACATACACTCAAATGAATTTATATTTATGTTGAAAAGCAAATGGATCATTACATTCGCTAGACTGCCAAACTTTAAATCTTTTTTTTTCTTTTATGTTTAACCTCTTTTGTTTTTATTACAAAAAAAAAATCTTTTTACGTTTTATGGAGTATTTTCTTTTATCAAACTTCATTCAAATATATTTCTTTGCTCTTTAATTTGTTCTGACTTTTCGTTCAATTGACATAAACAAAATGTTAACACATACACACTTTATAGGGAGTATTTACGTAAGCAAACAAAATATACTAGTTAATCATTTAATCGCAACTATCACCGTGGAAATGGAAACGTATAATGTTTAGTAAAATGAGAAATTAACGTTGGCATTTGAATAAAACTCTATTTTTGATTTTCAATCGAAATTTCCGTCTTCACATAGAACAAACACATCAAATAAACAATGCATTCGAATTCGAAATTTTTTGATCTACAAGTATTCATTTGAAAAAGAAAAAAACAAAGAATAGAAAAAGGGAAAGAGTTATTTTGTACAATTCGCACTAGATCATTTTCAATAATCTTAGAGACTGATCATTTCTGTTCATTTCATTCACCTAGATGCACTCATTTCCATTGGTCAATAATACCACATTCGACATCTTGCTGTTCATCTCTTCGCGAATGGAATAACGAATAAATGTTTTTTTTCTTTTCTGAATTACTGCCATAGAATTTAAGAGATCATTTTGGTCAGAAATTCATTGAAAATCAAATTGATTTGTTCAATATGACTTTAATTTTTTTTTCTCTTCAAATTAATGTGTTCAAACCGACAAACATGGTAACAAATTTGACGTTTTCATTACATAAATTGAGCCACTTATATTCTCAGTTTGAGTAAAATAAATTACAATGTAGCAATAGAATCAGACATAAAAATACCTTACTACAAATGAGACTCAAGATTTTTTTTTTCTAATTTGAAATTTATCAAAGTAAATTCGAAAAATGAGACCATAATGGCCCAACCAATCGAATATAAACAGAGCAATAAATTCAACAACACTTTTGATATCATTTTCCAAAAATAAAAATTTAAACACTAAACAACAACAAAATAAGTAATTGTTTTGCTAACCGGCTTGTGTATTGATAAGCGAGAAAATAAAACAAATTTGTATAATCGAAAAGATGTATTATATGTGTGATTGATTCATTTTTTTTAAACGCGGATAGTTATGCAAACACAAAAATAGAAGAAAAACCAAATGCATAAAAAAGAACACAATTTACAATGATCTAGTAAAAGAAAATTAATTAATAAAATGAATTGCAATAATACAGCAAGAAAAAACAACAACTGCGTTTATTTTGATTTTCGTTCAACGGGATTCATCCAAATATTAGTGGTTTGTATCTACTATATTGTAAACGGATTCGTTTTGGTCGATTGTTTGCAGTGAACTTTGTGAGTATGTCGTTTTCAAGTAAATCTATGCATTTGAACCAGAACCTAGAATTTTATCTACAAGTAAGTGAGTATCTCTTATTAGGGCGGTTCAAATTGCAAAAGTTTCGATTTCCCACCATTCCCGTCGCGATTCTGAAAATTCATCGAGAAGAAATAAGAATGAGACGGTTCCGGCACCCTCGGTCCAAATAAAATACAAATGCACGTGAATTTTGAAAATTTTCTGTATCGCTCTTTGGAAATGCATTTTCAAATATCAAAATTCGATGAAATAAGACTTTTGAACGGAAAACGGATGCTTGTGTATTATTTCTAGCACCAAAATTTATAATATTTGCCAAGAAATCAGGTACATAAAGTGCATACCAATATAGATAATTTGAAAAAAGACCAAAAAATAGATATTTTTCCAATTTTTCTTGGATATATTCGGCAAACGTCCTTTTAAAGTTCAATTTTTGAAACGTGTAATGAGCTGTTTCTACTTGATTTTTGACGAAGAATCGATTTATGATCACATTCGATTCAAAACAATGTGATTTATGTGGCGAAAAATACGAATATTTCAAACCAAAATTTGCAAACGATGACGATGAGCTCCGGTTTCATAGCTAAATCACCACATTGAGCAAACAATTTCTACATTTGCTGCCTTCAAACTTCTAGTACAATCCCTTACGGACATTTTGAGTACCAACATAACCAAGTCAAAGGATTTTTTCACATAGTACTAGCCTCATATTTGATTGGTTCGATTTCAACTCTTAAAAAATCGACTTTTGGTCAATAATTCCCACAAATATGGAAATTTCAGGGTTGGTGTCTTGGCGGAAAGTTTTTTTTCTCGAAAACAATGGGAATCTTTACAGACGAAAACACTAAAAAATGGCTATTTAAGGTACCTCTCGAACAAAAAAGACATTTTTTCTGGATTTTGGTATGAAAATATCATTTTTGGTTCGGGAGGTATTCCAAAAAGCCACTTTTCGAGTTTTTGTCTATACAAACACCTATTTTTATGAATAAAAATAACATTTGTCCCAGACACTTACCCTTGAAAGTGGTTTTTTGTAGTACCTTTCGAACAAAAAATGATGCTGAGGAAATAAAATCAAAATGGTGATGCATTTCAAAGCTCCGTGGAAATCCCAATATCATTTGACAGAGCTTCTGCGTATTTCCTTAACCAAACAGTATTGCAATTTACCAGACGTTCGCATTTGCATTGCTTAGGAAGCAGCATGTTTTAAGGCACAGCATTAATGCTAGCATATCGATGGTTGCAACAGCGACGCATACACGGATCTCGCGCTCACAAAAGCCGCACACACATCTCTCGTGCTCAGTAGCCGTCGCATCAACAAACATACACACGCATACAACAAACGTATATATATCACGCAAACGTATATACATCGCGCTTTTGTGAGCGCGAGATCCGTGTATGCGTCGCTGTTGCAACCATC